CTCTGTGCTGCCTTCAGGAGACACGTTTGGTTCCTGGTTCTGTCTTCCTCTGGGTCGTCATTGAACAAAGTGGGTTGCTGATACTTACCGCTCAGCACAGAGGGCAAAAACCACCACCAGGCTTTGCCTAAGGTATGACTCCTGCCAGTTTGGAAGGATTGTTGAGACTCTTATCAAGAAAATGCTTATCTTTTGGTGATAAGGAAGAGCTGAAACATAACCAGTGCTTGCACTGACTGGGTGGTTTTCTTGAGTTGGAAGTGCAAAGGAAATAATGAAACCAGAAGAATTAAGAAGTGAGTGCATAACAGGAAAACAGTAGGGCTAAACCAGAGAGTTTTATAAGAAATTCATACGCAGGCAAATGGCAGAGACCCTGTAGGGTGAATGTTCACAAAGGCAGGTGAGCTGTGACCACCATGGAAAAGAGAGCTTGACCCGCAGCTGCTGATAGAGGGGGAGAGGGCTTGCAAGTGTCCCTAATGTAATGCTGTTACTGTTGTTGCGGCTTTTATTAGCTGGTTACCGTCTTCTCTAGCCGGGAATGAAGCGAGTCTCTGTTCCCTTGGGAATACAGAAGTTATTCATTTTTTCCCAGAAGAAGGGAGAGTGCTGCTTGGAACGCCAGCTGTAACTGCTGTGGCATTATTTTGCATAGTTACTGTTTGAGACGCGTGGAAGCGGTGGTGTGTCGCAATGGCTGGGCATCCCTGGAATTGTTCTGTAGGTAAAGGTCTATGGAGCAGTCTGTGCCAGGCTGGGGGGCTCGCTGCTTGGATTGTTGTCTGGACAATACTTTCACTGTATAGCTGTAGGGCTGACACACAGAATATGTTATAGAACAGTGCTTGCTGTGTCTCCGCCTTGGCATGCCTTAGCAGGCTCTGTGTTGTAAGCACTTGCCCATGAAGCTGCCAGAGATAGATGCCTAATGGCGGAGAATTTGATAAAATTGATATTGGCCATGTAAAGATGCAGGTTCAGAGTGAGATCTCGAGTTGTAGAGAAAGTGATGAGGAAGTTACCTCTCACTGCCTGGCTGAGAAAAGGAGCTTACAGAGAAAAGTAAGCTGCCGGTGTCTTTGGTTTTATAAAGTACTTGTGTCTAATATATGGCTCTAATATTATAGTCTAATAGCTATAAATAGTTATTTGTTACTTGACTGAGCAAGAATCTTGTCTGATAGCCTGGTTAAATAACTTTCTTCTAAAACAACTTCCTTACTTGGATGTTGAATTTCAGGTGTGGCAGTGTAAGAATCCTAAATGATGTACTTCCCTGGGAAAACCAGTGGTGTCTTTGTGTTTTGAGCAGTGTTCTGCAGATATACTAGAGTTCAGAAACGGGTTGGTAGTTCTTGTAATGTGGCATGCAGGTGAACTGCACTGGAGTAAGTCCTTCAAAAGACAGCAGTCTTTAGCATGGCCTTACCCAGTATTAATTTTCAGAATGAGAATGAAGAATAACGATCTTTTCTGTTTGGTTTGTCATTTAGTAAGTATGAAGAATTGCTTCTAAAATCTGTATTTAAGTCAAAGGACAACTATGCACGGGCTTGTTATAGGCATTTTCTGTGCATAAGTTTCCACCACTTGTTTTGAGATGAAATAATTAATTTTACAAAAGTACCTTGTAGAAGGAAGATAGTTTCATTTTTATATGTGCAGTGAAAGGCTGGTTAAATGTGGCTGCATGAAGTTTACTCCAACTTCTGAAAGATTTCCTAAGTGTGGGTTGTTTTTTTTGTTTTGACTGATCCCATTTAGGAAGAACGTAGCACTGATGCCGTGTTTGGCTGTGGGAGTATGCAAACTGGCGTACTTGAAATATGCTTTATAGGGGAATCCAGTTTTGTGCATATTGACTCTGTTGCACTTGTAGAAGGTCATTTAAATTTCAGTATAAAAATATAAACGGATTTGCAGATCACTGTCTGGCATTTTGAATAATATTCAAAACCTGGAATTAATCTTGCTTCTTGATTTTTTTGTGTGAAGCTGTCATTTGCTTATTATCTCTAGTCTAGATTAATGCATTAGAAAGTGTTTATTTGGGATCAAGGGGTTTAGTCCGTTAATGAACGGTCCAATGGTTAGGACTTTAGGAAGCAGTTCTATTTTCAGGTTTGGTGCAATGCCTTGTGTAATCTAGGGAAATTGGATGTTAAAAAGATGCAGGGTTGTATTACAATGAGATTCACTTCAGCATTATATATTATTCTTGAAGTTTGCTTGTGGGCTACTTGTGTTGGAAACCTTGGATGGAATCGGGACGTGCCTGAGCTGCCCGCTTGGCTCTCGCTGTGCCGTTACGCTTAGACTTGTCGTACACTTTCACGTTGCTCTTTTTCCGGCAAATGTATCTCCCTGGCCCTGTTTGCTGGGATATCAGCGAATATAAGTTTTCCCAGACCATAATCGCGACACCAACATCGAGTTTTTAGGTTGTTCTGCTATAAGATCTCTATAAGGAGAAGTCAGGAAACATTGCTGGTCTGCGATGAGTTTATTGTACGTGTGCATTATTGCACTTTCTTGTGCAGAATGGAAGGACCTCAGTTCTTCTTTCTCTCTTGTGTGGAATCAGCAGATAGTTGTCCTAAGCATCACTGCAGCCTATCAGTAGGGTTGTGGTATATCAGATCATTGTTTACAATGGGTTTGCGTGTATTCAGTTTCTTTCCTTGTACCAAAGGGCTCTCAGCTTTTAATACAAACTTAATGGATTATGGACAGGGCTGATCCATGATCCGCATATCATTCTTACTTTAGCTGTTTTATAAATCTTTCTAACATTTGCAGCCTTGTTTTGACTAGTGTTTAGTAATTACGATGAAATGGCATTTTAATTATCATAGCTTCCAAAGTTGCCACAGAATGATGAATTGTATAGAAAACATTGTTCATCTCAAAAGTGTTTGCCAACTTATGAAGATATAATTTTATAAACCTCAACTAGTAAAGTTTAGTGCATAACCCTGGATGTGTTTAGTCCCAGCAGAAATTCCATTCAATCGTTTTGCTCGTCTTACAAATTTGGAGTTCCTAAAGGTTCTTTTCATAGTTGAATTCCACTATTTATTCTCAAATCCAAACAGGATAGGAAGTTTCCCTTTCTCTTCGCACAGGGTGGGTGAGGGAATGCTTCTCCCTGCAATTAAAGCTAGTAACAGGACATAAAACTAGTATGCTCATCCTTAAGCTGTTTCTTCTCAGTGTCTGCTTAGCTGTAATCATTTGCTAAAAATAATTTGCAATGAACTGTATTTTATATAACCTGAACAGCATTTATATATACGCTGATTGTAAGTGCTTAGTTACATATTGCGTGTATTTGCAATTCACTTGTTGATCTTCATGGATGCTTTTAAGACTTATGTTCCACAGCTGGGAAACTAAAAGTCAGACATGACTGAAATAAAAAATAAAAGTAAAGCTTAAGATCATCTTTATGTGTTGGCCAACTTTATGAGCAAATAAGACGTCTGTTTTTCACTTCCAGTGTGGGGTAATGTTGAAGTTATTTATGGTAATTAACAAAAGTAGTTTCTCATTTCTTAAAAGCTTATTCCATTGTATATAATTTCATCTGAAAGAAGCAATCTGTTTTTCAGTTATATTTAGTATTGAATTTCTATAGTAGAAGGTTCACATTGGTGTTTATATATTAAAAAAAGTATTTTAAAGTGTGTATCTAGTGGTGTGTTAATTTTCTCTAAATTGCTTTTAAATTGAGAATGGGATGAGTGATTCTTTAACTGTCTTGTATCTTTAGTTTTTATTTGTGTAGTGATATTTAATTTGGAACTATCATGTAATTCAATTATCTTTGTTCCATATCCATAGGCGTGCTGAAATTAAGTTTTTTGGTTGGTTTTCAGAAATATTTAGTTATCTTTTTTGTAGCATAAGACTAATGCAATTAACATTGGGCATTATTCTTTACCTTTTCCGTTACTTTAGCAGAAGTTGTTGAGGAACTGTTGGGAGTTTACGTGTGACTTGTGGACCCTCTTCTCATCTGTTGTACCCCACCAGCGTGGTGGCCCTCTGCTTGGCTCACTCCAGTGTGCCAGTGTTGTTCTCTTCTGGGACCCCCAAAACTGTAGGCAGTGCTCGAGATACGGCTTTGCAAATGCTAAGCAGAGGGAGTGATCACTTCTCTGGACTTGGAAACTGTTGTCTTGTTGTTCCCTTCCTCAAGGGTCCCTCTTAAGGGGTTTTCTGTCCTCTGGTGTATCAACCCCGCTCTCCATAGCTGTCTGTCAGCTGGAAGCTTGCTGAGGCTGTCTCGGTTTCAGTGATCAAAGGAAGTTTCAGTGAAAGCTGCAGAGTAGAGTTTGGTCTGTCAAGGATAGGAAAAAAATGGGCAAATGTTAGTATTTATGTTTCTGTGCTTTAAACACAAAGGTATTTTGTATCAGGAAATGGATCTAAAGAATACTGAGATTTAAGTCTCCTACTGAAATTTCTGTGGGGAATCCTGTGTCAAGTGGTCTCCAAAGTGTAATAGGGAAGTAATTGTGTGTGGTTTAATAAATGCATATTGCAGCTTGGTTTGGTCCTTTTTTCCTGGACTAAGCGAACCTTGACTGCCATGTTGTAACTTAGCTATTGTCAGTTAAGACATAGGAAGTCTTACAGGAAACAGGTTAGTGTTATTTACATGCAAGGTTGTATTGGTTGCAATCAAAGCAATTTTAATGTGTTTGAGAAAAAAATCTGAATGTGGTGAGTTCAGAACAAATTGCCACAAGGATTTTGAATTGTCCTTTGGTGGTTGTATAGATTTTGCACACTGCAGTCTTGAATATTAATAATTTAATTTACAAGCTACAGGTTTTATATTCCTAGGTGATACGAGAACTTTAGCAAGAGCTGCCATAAAGTTTTGTCGTCCAATTCTCCATTTCTATTATCATAAGAAAAAGAATTTGCAAATGACAGTGGAGAAACAAACACTTGTGATGACACATGTGCCTTCTTTTTCCTAATTCCAGGGCATATTCGCTTGTGGATTCTAGTCAAGTGTCTACTTTCCTGATTTCTATTCTCCTCATAGTCTACGGCAGTTTCAGGTAAGATTTTTCTTTAAGGTTCCACAGAATTTTTCAAATAAAAATATGGCAAGTGACTGAATACAGTTTGTGTTTATGCCTTTTGTTTCATTGTATCTTTGTCAGACTAATTAATGTAAATGAAATATTTCATGCTTCTGAAAAGGAAATGGAAAAGGAAGAAAAAGTAGCTAGTTGAGGTTTTTGAAAGACATAATTGTATGTCAAGTTACAAGCTCATATAAGATAACTTAGAAGTTAGTCCTTGAAGACAATTGTAAAGTTGTATTTTGGAGGGTATAAAAGGATTGTCGAGAGAGATAAGAATGTAAGGTTATTGAAAGTACAATTTTATATATAATGTTTCAGTGTTGGGTCAGTTCAGCATATCCTTGTTGTGATTGCAAACAAGTCTTGTAAAACAGATTCCCAAGTCCCAGTGTTATTTACTTAAGTGTAAGTAACAGCTTAATAGAGAAGTAGTAAGCTCTGTCAGTGTTCCAGCAAAGTATCTGAGAACTGCTGCAGGATGAGTATGAATCTTCAAAAATCAAATTTGCCTGACTCTAGGAGACTTGAGTACAGTTTAGAGCAAACATGGTTCTCCCTTTAGACTTGCAGCTTATATTGTACAGTTTGTTGTAATGTAGTGGCACCTAAGGAATGAGATTCATGCTGACATATTAAAGAAAATAATTAATCACAGCATGAAACTATTACTTTTTTCAAGTACAACATGTTTTTCTTCCTGTTTCTTGAAGAACATTGCTTCATTTGACAAGCCTATTATAAAAGGCCATACATTCACTATGAAGCCTCTGAACTGCCATGAGAATTCCTGAAATAGATGATAGCCATGGTCATACATATGATGTACGTTGCAGCTGTTAGGGTAAGAGGTTTTAAATTGCCTTCATAAGTTAATAAAATCATATAATGAAAGAGCCAATTTTTGATAAGAGCTGTCTGTTGTTGCTAGCGAGTATTAGGTAACAGCCCTGCTGATGGAATTAAAATAGAAGACCTTAGGAAGACAAAATCTAGATGTAAGCAAAATAAAAAAAAAAAAAAATAAAATTGTATTTGTTTAGGTTTTTTTCTTCAAGTTTTGAGTCAGTCTAGCATATAGTTGAGAGACTAATTAAATTTTTAACTATTTGAATTTATGCAGTTGCGTAAAAAGGAACTACGCTTCTGGCTGCAAGAAGCCATAGCATTTATTAAAATTAAATTGATTAAATAGTGAAAACATAATGCAATATAAAATAGCAGGAGTGCTTGAACTTGAATTGCCTGCCCTTCCCAGAGCTCCTTGCTCTTAGCTTTCCCCTACTGTTTGCCATCCTGTTCTCACGTACACATGCTGTTTTACCGTCTTGTCCTATGATTTGCGTTTAAAACCGCTCGTGTAGTAAGGGCTGCGAACTTCAGGACAATCTAACTTACTGGATGAAGTAGTAGAAAAGTGATGGATATGAATAAATTGAGGAAATGCCCTGTTCTAGTCTGCTTCTTTTGCATGGATCCTGAAGACCCCAAGATGCAAGCTATTACAGACCAAGATAGGGTCTCATCGTTTTAAAATTAATTTCCTAATTAATTTCCTATAGATAGTTTCTTTAGCAGATGTCTGAGCTGAAACTCACAGTTAAAGTGGCGACTTGGACAAATTCCCGTGCCGTTTGGTCAGCAAGTGAGGTCAGGTCAAAAGCAGTTTTTTACAGAAGATTGTAAAGTGGTGTTAACAAAGGGGTCTAAGACACAATTAAGTTATTTAAGAAATTCAGGTGTGGTAGTACGTTGCAAAATTACATTCATCTGGAAATTTCTGAAGTAGTAAAATAAAAACTTCCAGTAAAGTGGGTGGATTTTCACAGAAAAGTGACTTGCCAGAAAAACGGAAGTAATGGCTTAGGGTGCTTGTTCTTAAATGACAACAGTGATGTCTTCATCTAGATTTGAGTGCTTCATCTCAAATGGAGCTATCCTAAGATGAAAAGCAAATAGTGCTCCTTAGTTCACCTTCACGTTGCAGAAAACGGGTTTGGGTTCTGATCTCCAGTCTGAAAAGAAGCAAATAGTTATTTGCTGGCAAGTGACTTAAACAGAAGTGCAGTAATAGGATCAGAAAGAATTGGGTGGGTGAGTCATTAGGATAAAATCCACGTGCATGGTGGATCTAATCTAGTGCAAGAGGTTTCAGGGGAACAAAGACAAGCCTTGGTCTGCTGTCCATATTCATACAAGCAGTGTTTGTCCAAAACCGAAACAAACAAAAAACCCACTGAAACCCCCCAAGATATTCAGAAGAATGTCTGATAGATGATGGGTAAAGCCTGCATTCAGAACGAAGTACAGTGTATAGAGTCGAGTTCCCACTTCTCTTGCTGTGTATGAACAAGCACTTCCTCCTACATTTGTGCTTGGTCGGGAATTTTAGCTTGAAGCCCTTCTGAGTATCTCTCCCATATACATCCTGGCTGTCGCTCAGTCCTTGAGATATACTTGATATACATTTATTGTCGGCTGTCAGAGAGACAAGTATGATCTTTCAAACAGTTACAAGCTGTAAACTGGAGCATGCCTGTATGCGTGTTAGTTAAGGATTTTTAAAGAGGTGAGCTTAGCTTGAAATAGGTTGTTTTCTCTGAGTTCTAGCAAGACAGTCACCTGTTCTGTCCAAGGGCTTCTCAGATTTAAATGTTAGGGTTACCTTGCAGGCAGGTAACAGCTAAATCTTTTTCTATCCTATCACATACCCAGACATGGTCTCTCAGCTTATGTAAAGCCTGATTTAACCCAGAATCTACCTGTTCAAGTATCTGCTTTTAAACCAAAGCAAGAAGCATGGGATGAAACTGGTGTCTTCTTCTCTAGGCTTTGGGTACCTAAAATACGTGCATAAATAGAAGGTAGTTTGAACGGTGTCCTGATGGCTGGCTTCACAACTTGGCGTTTACAGAAATCAGGATACATATTTCACAATAAAACTTAAAGAGAAAGGTTGTGGAGTTCATGAGCATCTACAGTCCCAGTGCTGGTCGGGTGGAATTGGGGATTTGGACAGACCTTCTCACCGAATGCTACAAAGGTTGTCTGCACAGGTGCACACACGAGAGGGTGCACATAAAATAGCTGCTGAAGGTGAGATGTTCCTATCAGAGACGTGGGACTCAGGCATTCTTACTCCTTTTAGGCAGTGAAAACGTTTCTATGTGCACTTTCTGCTATTGTTTCCCCTGTTCTTATTCCCACTCCACGTCTTGCATTGGAACTTGTCCTTTAATCTCACAGCAGCATTTTAGAAGCGACTGCTGCAGTGTTAGAGCACACACGCATTTTAGGCGCTCTCTCTGTAACATGCATTGAGATTTAGTTGAATTAAACCGTCTCAGGTCAAGGACTGATTCTGATTGTAATTTTTTTATTTAGAGCAATAAATCTGGGAATTCTGTGGCAACCCACAATTCTTATAGTCTTACAGCTGTTAAGACGGGTGGCTGTCCTCACTAAATAGAGTAAGAATATATGGCACCTGCAAGCTTCTCTATAGATACATACTTGCTTTCATATTTCCTCCATTGTTTCATAAGAATATTCTCCTGCAGGGTTTTCCTGAAGCATTTCTGCAGTGGAAGTGATCCATAGTTGAATCTGAACTTTCATGATAATAGTGTGCCAGCCGCTTACTCATTCCTTTGGCCTCGGAGTAACCCCACTGAGTGGTTCCCTGTGGGAGGCTGAGCCGTGCTTGCTTTGAAACATTGTGCTAGAAATCCTACCAACTTGAACTGCGAGGACCCGCAGGAGGAGGAACTGTGTAGGTCATTGCCTGATGGGAGTGCTGACTGAACGTTGCCTTTGGAAGCCCAGCAGAAACTTGAACAAAAAAGCAAATATTTCTCAGCTTGTGATTTCTTTACAGTCCAGTAGTTTTCAGTGTATCTCATTTTACAATATAGTTTTCAACTTTTTTGGAGGGTATTTTAGTGATCACTTCTCAACTTTTTTTATTACGTTAGTGATAATTTGCAGCAGAGGGAAGGGGAAGGGCCAGATCATAAAATGGTTGGAGATTATTCAGAAGTTGTCTTGGATCTCGGAGAAGCTGTGTTGCTAAGTGAAAATAATTTCCTAATTTATGCTTACTTTTGGGGTAGGGATGTTTATAGGTAATAAAGTAATAATTGCTGACACTATTGCAATGAAAGAAAAAGGGGTGAAGTTGTTTATGAGCAGTAGATCTAATAGTCTCTTTCCAGTTTTCTTTGCTGATAGGAATCCCTTCAGTTACGAGTTGTCCGATGCCACTGGGAGAATGATGGTGTGAAGTTCATGCTAAACTGCACTAGTTTGGAGAGGAAAGAAATACTGCTCTGAAAAAAGAATTATCTTGTTTGGCTGAATCTTGGATCAAGTCCTGGAGGGTTGTCAGCCTCCTCCTGGATTTTTATAGCTTGAGAGGAAAATTATGAGGCTATGTCCTGGTTTCGGCTGGGATAGAGTGTTACTGCATTAATGGGGAAAAAGGAAGCGTGAATGAAGGATAAAGGCACCCCAAACAAGATGCAGAGCAGAGGGATCTTTAGAACAAGTTAGGATTTTAGTGTTCTCCCCTGCCTCTTTGTATTTTTGATAACTTTTTAGTTGATGATCCACAATCTGTGTAGAAGTACTATGTGTCTGAGGTTGAAGCTTCTTCATATTTCACCTGAGCCCAAAGGCTGCTTTAATTTCATACCACTTTTGGGGAGCACTTGCATAACAGAAGCAGAAGAAAATAAGAAATAAACCCGTTTTAGACTGGAAAAGCCTTTTTTTGTTGTTTTTGTTTTACACAGTGAAACTGCTCAACCCCCTCTTTCTTTAACACACTGCACCCGTCTTGGTACTATAGACCTATATGTGCTCGATTTCAGGTTGTATGACTGCAGCACAGAATTGCTCACCTGTGCATTGCAGCAGGTGACTTACGCACTAAAATGAAGTAACTCTGGTTCCTATAGAATTGTATAGAAGATTATGGTGTATTTTTTACTTGTCTGACAAATTAATAAAATTTGTTTACTTTGCGTAGTGCAGTTACTCACAGCTCAACTTGAAAAGGAGTTTAATGCCTGTTGACCTGGAAGTTTTATTGAAATACTTGGTATTTGATGCTGCTGCAGACATAAGACAGGAGCTGTACAGTGCTTCTGGTGCTTCTCTATAGCTTATTTGAATAAATAAATCTGCAGCTAAGTCATGGATAACATGCATGTATTAGAATGAGAAACTATCATGGTAAGCTTGATTGCTAGTATTTTTATATAAACCAACCTAGAATTTAACGATAGAAATGTTCAAGGCCAGGTCGGATGAGGCTTTGAGCAACTTGGTGTAGTGGAGGGTGTCCCTGCCCATGGCAGGGGGTTTGGAACTAGATGATCTTTGAGGTCCCTTCAAACCCTAATCATTCTATGATACTGCTGGCCAAAACAGACCTGAAATGAAATTTCCCCGTTTCAGAAAGTTGTGCCAAAATTTATTATAATATAATTTAGAAGTTGCATCAAAGTCAAAGACTGTGGCAAAAGGAGTAGAACACTGTTATTTTGGATTTTTTTTAAAGTGTGTATATCAAAATGAAGAGATGAATCAATTAGAGCTGAGCTGGTACATAGGGGAATGTTGTTGGCTCCTATGGATGCATTAAGCTGTATCAAATTGTACTATTTATTCAGAGCTTCCTCTAGTCCTCTGTTGTGCCTGTATCTAAAATATGTATCTGGTTACTTTCTAGGCTTTGCTGAAACTTTTTCAATTAAGTAAGACCTTCCATTCAGCAGACAAGTACTTAGAAGCTAGTTTTGGTCAGCATTCGTAGCAAGATTTAGAGGAAGGAGATAATATTTTTAAAATGAAACCCAGTAGTTAAATTTGCATGGAAAGGATCAAAATGAGAAGTTGGAAAGAGGTCATGTACATCAGAGACTTCAAACATTTATTGCGTTTCCATCATGTTCTACTGCCAGTAAGCTGATAAATATCTTTGTTGTGGTTCGTTGTTAACACTTAGCAGTTCAGAAACCAAGGTGCCTAGTCTCACTGTTAGAAACTGTGTAATTTGGTGCTTCATCCTTAACTATAAGTTTGTTTGTTTTTTTTTTAATTTTCCTCTGTGTGTGGTGTTTTTTCTAATAACCAGCATTAAAGGGCTTTTTCAGGGAGAGGTTGCCGTGGTTGAACGGTCATGAGGCCGTAGCTGAGGAGCCTAAATAGGAGTTTGAAACTTGCCTGTTAAGTTTGCTTTGTTTCCTGCAGGTCTCTTAACATGGACTTTGAGAATCAAGACAAAGAGAAAGACAATAGCAGCGCAGCTGGGTCTTTTAATGGCAACAGCACCAATAACAGTAAGGGTTAGCTTTACTCCTTATCTTTCTTTCATCACTTCACTGTGCTGCATCTTCTTTTGCTTCATCTCTCTGTGTTTCAGCTACGTGTTTTGTAGATTCACCTGATCCGATGGAACTGTTTTCCCTGGGCACTTACTGTCTTGCTGTGCGCTAACCCTGCTACCTAGTTCATGCCCGTGGAAGCTAAATTTAAAACGTCCACGCAACGTTTCCATAACGCATAGAAATTGCATGCTGTGCATCTTGTCAGGTTTTACTGGAAATGGAAACAGCTTTACTTTTTAAAAAAACACCATGCAGTTACGAGATGGGAATGTCATTTGTCTCTGGTGTTTATCACTATGATGTATTTATTAGCCAGTCCGTAAGCAACGAGAGATCTCACAGTGTGCTAACAAGTCCGTAAGGATGATTCAGCTTTAGCAATAGAGAAATTGAAGTATAGAGTTCACATGGCTTTGGGCAATTCATTTATAATGGACAACAAAATACGTGTCTACACACAACCTGTTCAGAGTGGGGATGAACATGTCAGCTCCTACGTGGTGATTGTCCCCTCTGTAATCTATAAATAGATTCCAAACAGCTTGGCCTTTTGAGATGCACTGTTTTGCAGGTAAAAATATGTATGCAAACAGTTCGAGTGGAATGCGTTGTACGTAGTGTGCTGTAAATTCATACCTGAGTTTAATTTCTAGCAATTTATGTGGCCATATTCTAAGAATAAGCTCTAGAATGGTTTCAGCAAGTTTAGAAGACAGGAGAGAGAGAGGTGAGCAGCCCTGTGCACAAAACCCTGAATGCTAAGGTTGCTTTGTTTAAGGTAAGAAATATAGCTTAAAAATTATAAAATAAATAGCGTATGTTGCATGTGTCTTTTAATTTTTTTGCCTTTTTTTTTTAATTTATAGACTCTTGGAATTTACATAGTTGTCAGAGCACTGCTTCTGTTGACAACACAGAGCAAAGAGGTTATTGTGCTTGTTGATTGAGCAATGAACAGTTGAGGCTTTTGGATCTGGGAAGTGAGAGAAGACAGTCTGGGGCTGGGGAATAAGCACATTAAGGGGATTCGCTGTCAAAATGATCAGAAACGAAATGAAGAACTTTGACACTTAACACTGCAGGCACAAATTCCCGTATGCTAAGGTGGTTTGTAGTATGTCATTTCTGGGTTTTGTTTTGTTTGTTTTTTTCCCTTGGGAAGTTGAAGGGCATGTGAATGAATGCTGTTTCTCAAAGCAGAAGGAAGTAGATCTAAGTCACAGATAGAACACAGGAATTTCTGTGTCTTCACACTGTCATCGCTGGACTGCCTGTATTGTACTTTACCCTTTTGTACCAGACCTCAGTAATGTAGAAATCCCAAGTGACTGAGTTCTGCTTTTTATTTTTAAAATTTTTTGTGCTACTTATGCTTAAGAATAATAGATCCATGACCTGAACTAATAAATGACCATACAGTCCAGGTGTCATGGCTCTTTGTTTAGCTTTTCTTTTATGAAAATGGTTAAGTACTGAAGACGGATACTAAGTTGTGGTTATTTCGTGCTTGTTTGAGGTTTTCTGATGTGCTTGGGTGCATTGGTAACTATGAGTTGTGTAGGCAACGTTATTGAGACAACTTACTGGTCTTCCCAGAAAAAAAAATAAAATAGACATGTTCTCAGTGTGTGTATATGTATTTGTATGTGTAGGTCTGTGTATACGTGCGTACACACATATGCACAGATGTTTTGCTTGATAATTTAAAAGCTTATCAGTAAAATTCTGTGACTGCTTCATTCAGCAGTGTCTAATTATTTTGGGATAGTGCAGTGATGTTAAGCTGGTTTTAGACGTCGTCTAGGTCTGAGTCTTGTATTAATTTTTCATTGGAGACGTTTTGAAGACTTCTTATCAAGTGACAACCTGTTATTTTAATGCTCTACAGGTATACATATGTCTTGTATTTTAATTGGTTTACTACTTAACAGCTTCTTTTCCCCTCTCTCACGATCAAATGTAAAAACAGCTACAGGACTGGTTAAGTATTAAGTTATGAGGGTAGGTGGGCTTTTCAAAGCCTGATTTTCTCAGTTTTGTTAGTAATTCTAAGAACTCGTGGTAAAATATAGTAAAAAAATATGCTGTCCCATTATTAATATCCTGAGTAGTCACACTGCACAGTTGAGGTGGGGGAAATAATAAGAATAAAATACTTCGATATCTCTGCACTGTTTAAAATTGCATCCAGCTATAAAAAGTGAGCATGAATTTTTGCTGTTTTTTATCACAAGAGGCGATTATAGTGCAGGTGGAGCTGAGTTGGTAGTTTCATAAGCAGGTAAAGGACGTGGGTGTTTATTGAAAACTGCCCTTTATTGTTAGGCTTGATGTTATCTGGTGATTGCAATCAGTGATACGATTTAAGTGCATGGTGGCCTTCACCCAAGTGGAATTTGAAGCTGTGACACCCTTTGCATGAGCTGGGTCAGCCTAACGCTGTCTGCAGCCCTGATGTTGGTCAGGCTCTTTACCTCGGGCTGAGAGGTTAAATGAAACTTCTCTGTTCAACACGTTTATGTTGCTCAGTGTGAAATGAAGCAAATATATAGTTGCTATATGATTCCTGATCCCTAAATAATGTTAATTTTTTAAAACTCATTATTCATTCTATCTATAGCACAAGAAAAAAGACATATATTGTCAGAGACCTCAATTGTATTGGTGAGGACAGGCTTCAATATGTGTGTGGTAAAAAATAGCCCCAGTTAAATGTCACTCTCTTTCTCCTGCAGGTATTCAAACCATTGATTCTACCCAGGCGTTGTTCCTGCCGATCGGAGCGTCGGTGTCCCTCCTAGTTATGTTCTTCTTCTTTGATTCAGTTCAAGTTGTCTTTACAATATGCACAGCAGGTGACTGAGTTTTCTTCTCTTTGTAAGAACTGGAATAGAACAGAAAGCGTTGATGTAATTAAATATGGTTTATAAGAATTATAATAGATGTCATAGTACATTAAAAAACCCAACTCATCGGGTTTCACAGTTGTATTTTCGTGTCTCTGTAGCTATAAATACAATGACCAGTATTATTTGAGAAGTATTTTCCACTTGGAGATTTGCTAAACCTACTGAACTATCAGTTGCCAGAGTTTTGAAAGATGCTGGGTGTATTACTTTACGTAAAGTTCACTTGTTTATAAATCAGTGCTCAGAACTGTACATGGTATTTCATAATTCAGATACTTTATAGGATCAGAGTATAACTCTGCAGATTCTATCCAGAGACTTCTTTTCCTAGTTTAATTTTGATTTTTGCCATTATGCAGTTTTCCTTTGTTTCAAGGGTACTTCTGGTCCCACTAGTGTTTTGGGTATTATTCTTTTGCGCTGCTTGAATTTAGAACAAAAATGAAATGGTTGTCCCCGAATACATTTCAAGTCCTCTGATCCTGTTTATTATTATTTACATTTTGTTATTTAAGTAATTACCAAGGCTTTGATTTTTGGAAAATTTTGGCCTTCTGATCTTTTTGAAGCTCTTCAAGAGACCAGCTGCTGTTCAGGGTAGCAAGATTCTTCCTACTGCTCCAAATTTGCATCAGCTTTTAAAAATTGTACTCCTCAGTCCACATACTAAGCCTGTGACGATTTTTAAGTCCCTAAACACCTCTCATCCTCTCCTGCTTCATGTATATGCAAGGCAGGCTTTTCCCTCGTGATCTAACTCCGGAGCTATGCATCCTCTCCAGCCTCTTAAAGAGGGCTGATGTTGATGGGTGGAATCTAAATCTCTGCTCTTGACGCGAGTCTCGAGACTCCTGCCTAATTCTGGAGGCACACTTGTACAGGTCTGCAGAACGCTGCTTCTGTAACTCTGACCTGTGACACATGTGTTCTCTCGTTAAAAATAAATTATTACTTCAGATAAATTCTACTATGTGCTAGGTATTAGGGGAATATGTATACATGTGTATATATAAGATATTATAAGGGAAGATTTATGACAAAAGACAAATTTTAATTTCTTAGGCTTATTGGTCCGTTTGTTTCCAGAAGGACCTTGACATTTCTAACTTTATTTGTAACACTTGTGGTGTGTAATGAGATAATATTTTGTCAGTTGGGGCTTGTTGCAGATTTAAGAGGATTGAGTCTGTTTGGGTTAGTGCACTTGGGTATCTTTATTCCTGAAGCTGGTTTTATGATGCTTTTGTGCTTTGCCTTGGTCTTGCATCAGAGGATGTCATTAGGTGCAGGGAACTTTGGCCCCAGAACCTCTAAAATGCAAAGCTCTGTTAGAGGCTGTGGGGCAGGACACGGACCCTGCTGAAGTTGGGAACTTGGGAGCTGTGGGATTGATCCCTCTGACCCCTGAAGCTCAAGCAGTGTTATTTTGCATCCTCTTTTTTTAGATTTTAGAGGCCGATGTGGGGACACTTCTGAATTACAGCTGATGGCTGGTTTCTTAAACTGCTCTTAAATGTTCTGTCTGCAAAGCTGGGCCTTTGAGGGAAGCGTGAGGAGCAAGGGTGGGTACGGCGAACAGCCCGGGGCCGCCAGCAGCTGCTGAGCAGCGGGCAGAGCTGAGGAGTTGGCGTGTTGCCTGCAGACAGGGGACAGCCAAGGGACTGCTGGTTGAATAATGGGTATTGAGGCTAGAGGGAAGGGAAAGCTTATGACTGGAAGCCTGGACAGTCAGGAAGGAGATTGAGAGTGGGCACTGCCTATATATGTGATTACTTTTCATTCTTACATGCTCTGTACAAGCCCAGCTTTGGGTTGGCAGTGGCTGGGGATGCCAGGGAGGCGCAGCGTTCCCTCCTGAGAAGAGCAGGAGAGGAGAAAGGGGAAGGAAGAGATTCCAGGGGCAAAGAGGGTCGGACTGGGGTCTGGAGGGATCAGTCCCACTGCGCTGGAGGCAGAGCAGGGCAGGCAGGCAGCGAGGCATGCAGGACCTGGGGCAACAGGGGCACAGGTTCCGCTGTGCAGCGTTCTTTGCCAAGCACTTCTGAAAAGGTTCCTAGTTCAATGTGTGCGGAGTTGGAACACTCTTCGTTTTTCCCTACCCATTCTGCTTTTTTTTTTTCCTCCTTTCTGAAATATTGATAGAACTGTGAGTTTCCATGGTGCTGTTTTTATTTTATTTTTTTAAAATAAATTAATCTTTTTTAACTCTTCCTCCCACTAGAAAGGGCAGAATTGAGGAGTGGAAGGATGTGATTTGACCAAACCAGTTTCTTTTCTCCAGTTGGCTTAAGCTATGTACTAAAGAGAATGTTTTCCATCATCTTCATTTGAGAAGAGACAGAAAAAAAAATCCTTTTAAAAACCAACAATCATCCCAGCTTTTTATGGAATTGAGTAGAGAACAGCACAACGATTTGATTTGCAGCATGCAGAAAATGTTGAGCATTTCAGTTGGTTCTTGCTGCAGCAGTTCTGGATGCGTGCTGCTGACATGTCCCTGTCTCCACGCCCTCCCTCTTCAGCCTTTTAAACAGTCCTTAGGACAAATTCAGTGCTATTATTTTTAAAAACACTAGAAGGAAAAATGATTATAAATACCAGCAGTTACTGCACATTTTTACAAATGCGTGGGTGGGATAAGTATGCTTCTTGAAAAAGAAAATATTTATGGAAATAGTCGATTTGGATATTTATGTATTTTTATTGTCCTGTTTTCAAAAGCTTAAAGCACTTTGTATTTTAACAAATTTAAGTTGCCAGCTATTAGATATAACTTATTTTAAGTTATACTGTGTTTCAGTAATGAATAAAGGGTTTTGAGTGAGATGGGGGAAAAAAATGACTATCTCAGTTAAAAGGTGGAAAAAACTTTTATTATGCTGACTTAGTCTGTGTCATATGTGGAAGAATTTTAAAAGAACCTCACAACCAGTTTGTAGTAAGTTCTTTCATTTTTATTTGGCTCTTGGAATATTTGAAAACTGTTTTTCTTGCTGACATGATCATGAATAGCTTTAAGACTTTTTTTTTAAGGTTTGAGGATGAGGCATTGCATTCCTTTGAGAGCTTTTATTTTGATTGAAGTTTGAAAGCATACTAACAATAGAAGTTCTGCAGAAAACCTTGGAGCCTTGAGCTGCTCTTGCTTTAATAATACTGCAGCATATGATAATAGGACGTTGTTGCAAGAGCTTTTTCAAATTGGAGAAGCTTGTTTGTGTACTGTAGAATTTAGGTCTGAACATACTAATATTACCTGTTCTTCTTTTCCTAGTACTTGCAACAATAGCTTTTGCTTTCCTTCTGCTCCCGATGTGCCAGTACTTAACACGGCCTTGTTCACCTCAAAACAAGTAAGGACTTGAGAAATCTTTTCCTCCTCTTCTTGTATGTTGTATTTATTTCTTTTAATGAGAATTCTTTAACAGTCTTTGGTTACGTGCGTTAACCTCAAGGCTTCAGGGATGATGTTTGTGCATATTTTTTGTGCCAACACCACGTTTCCACTTTGAAATTAGGAAGCATAATTTCTGCAAGTCACGCAGGCGCCAGCCTGGGAATTGCAGTACCATTGCAGGGGACTAGATTTCCCAACAGTGGTTTTTAAGAAGTTTGGCTTGTTTTGGTTGAGATTTCGGAGTTTGGGATTTGGTATTGGATTTTTAGGTTTGTTCACATTGGACTGTGGATTTTAATACTGACTCTTTCAGAGGCTGTAGTTACAGTAGTGAAAATTACAGTTGTTACTGTCATGTTTTGAAACTAATATTTTTTTTACCGTGTGACTGGGGTTCATGTTGCAAAAAGCACTATCTTAGACGGTGCTAGGAAATAGCATTCATGGTAACAATTTCAAGAGAGGTGCCAGGATTTCCAGAGTGTTTTCCATCTCTGTAGTTCAGGCTTTACACATGTCGTTTGAATGTGAGGAAAGCTTTTATTTTGTTGCTGTTTTGGTACCTATTTGTGGCAAAGGAACTTCCCTTCAGTTGTTCTTGGCATCTTTCATCAGCAGTTGAGCCTCATTCCAACAGCGACCATTTTCTGTTCTTTAAATGGAAACATAAAGTCTTCTAGCTAATGTTTATATGTTGTTCCTAGGATTTCCTTTGGCTGCTGCGGGCGTTTCACTGCTGCTGAGTTGCTCTCATTTTCTCTGTCTGTGATGCTTGTCCTTATCTGGGTCCTAACTGGCCACTGGCTCCTCATGGATGGTGAGTATGTGAATTAAGGGATTTTACTCCTGGTTTGTGCCTGTTCTGACACATCCAGTCACCTGGTGATGATTGCTGAAATTTGCTAATGTTAATGGTTTGCTGAGTTGTAATATTGTGTGGTAGACTCCCTGGAAACAACTGCTGTCGGGAACATGCCAGGGTAGTGTTTGGGACACCTGTTTTTCTGGTTTGTAAAAGCTTCCAAGGAAGTGCCAGAACACTCATGAAAGATATTCTGCACCTGTGTGATGTAGGGTGGATCACCAGTTGTAGTTAAAGATGTGTAGAGACAGTGGTTGTTTATGAATCATAACTTGATCTTAGCAATCTGGTTAATTTTTGCAATGCATCATCTTGTTTTTTCGTTCAGATGATCAAATAATTTGTTGTGAGACAGTTCACAGTAGCTGGTTGTCTTTGATCTCTTTGATGCTTGCCAGTTGGGATGGTGAGATGGGTGAAGCTGGCAGGCATCCACTTGGCTTGAAGGCGTGATATTTTTTTTTTTTTATTATTTTTTTTTTCATGCTGGTTGAACTGAATTCACAGCTTACTGTTCCGAAAAGGAGCTTTCCTCCTCCCCTCCTGCCTTCCAAATCTCTTGTGCTAGCTCTGGCACTCATTTAATCGCATGGTAAACTGATTCAGCTCACTAGAATGGCAGCGTACTCTTTTTTTTTTGCCAGGCTATTTTTCTGCTGCTGCAGTGAGATGAATTGGATTATTGTGCAGTCAGGTTTGAGCTAAATTTGGCAAAAGGTAAGTGGCAGCATGATGGGATCTGAGAGGATGGAATAGGTATCATAGGAAAGGGAGCAGGACCTCCACTTCTCAGCAGTGTCAGGCAGCTAAATTGGCTTAGGACATCTCATGAAATGGCACCCTGAGGTGGTGATTGCTTGAGGAAAAATAGCTGGGACAACATTAACTGCTCTTGCAATTGTTTGTTGCCATAGAAAACATACATCGCATCAGCTTTCCAGCTCCTCCTAAATCGGATACCAGCAGCAGAACATCCGTAGCACTGAAACCTGTCATGGCACCTTAATTCTTTCTTTTGTATATGGGTGTTATGTTTCATTCAGGGTTTTTTCTCCTTTAAAAGTTCCACCTGTTGCATGTTAGGGAATACCTTTTAAAGTACCCAGAAACCAAATGAAAAAATGCAGATGTTTTGTTTTGTGTCAAGTGGAGTAGCCCACCGCGAAATCAAGGGCGATTTTTTTGATCTGCAGTAGCTACAAAGCTAAATAGAGGATCAGATGTGGATTTTGACAAAATCTGAAAAGGTTTATCTGCACTGAGATATTGGCAGGAGCATTTGCTTAACAACAGCTATTTTTGTGAGTGCTTCAGTCTGAAATAGCAGGCTTTGAGGTAATTAATCTGCAGAGTACTGAACTACTGGTGCCGAGTGGTTTCTGGGTTTTATTTCTCCTGGTGGTTGTTTATGATTTGCTGAATTGTGTTGATACTGTCGAGCTTTGGAGTATTTTATGTAGTTTATATTACGAGAGCTTGTACTATATAGGTAAGCCTGCTGTCGTTTGTTCAGATCCAATTAAATTAACGTTTGTCAGTGACATTGAACAGAGAACAGCATTTAGTGCCCTTCATCAGGGAAACACACTCTACGGTTTTATGCCTTGTAGTGTGCTGCTGCAAGAGGGGATCACCTCGTCTCTGCCTTTCCCCTTTGCTTCCCTGTAACTGGGTACTTGAGACCACGGATAATCTTGTTTGGAGGGAAACGCAGGCAGTAAGCACTGCTCGGAAATACGTGCCAGCGGAGCACTCGTGGTCGTTCAGCCAGCGCCCGGCAGCTGCTGGGTGCTGAGATCTCACTCCACCTCCCCACCCGCTCAGGGATGATCTTCTGTTTCGCCGTCAGCAGAAAATGAAACAGATATTGTGAACACGCTTCGCGTCGCCTGGGCTGGTGGCTGGAGGGAGGCGTTTGTTCCAGTACACCCCGATTTTGGTGCGTGTGGTTTGTTGCTGTGCTGTTGATTCTCTCTTTGTGAGAGAGTATTTCTACTTCAGAGCCGAGTTAAAAGGAGGGGAAATACTTCATGATAGTTTCCAGTCCTTACAAAATTGAGGTGTGGCAGTTCCTGCCAGAGCAGTCTCCGTTGCTCAAATACTACAATTCCCCCCTCTGCACAGTAGTTGGTTGAACTGTTTCTGAAGCCAGGGACATTTCATAGGATGGAGTGAGCAGATATTGTCTCCAGGAGGTTGTTCTGGCATATGATGATGTACATTTATAGATCTTGGAATGCTTTATTTCTCAGAGCAGATTGTTTGATGGCAGAATCATCCAGGATGGTCACTGTCCCCTGGTAAAGCCTGGTTAAAAGCTTTCCTAAATAGTGCACATAGCTGGAATCAGAATGAATGCTCTAGATGTGTGCAGTGTCTGTCTATAGCTACAGAGTGAGCTGAACAGTCACAGATACCCCAGGAACTGCTGTGGCAGTGGGGCAGAGGCTGCGTCATGACATGTGTTCTGATTCCCACTCCTTCAAATATGCTTTGAGAGTTTTATAGGAACATCATTAGATGAGAACTTCATACCTGCTCTTTCGAAGGTCAGCCAGTGGCCTGTGGGGCAGTTTGAGCTTTGCCAGCTTGCATAGTGCTTTGTAAACCAGGCACCACACTGCTGGCACCTCCGTGGTGTCGTCTGTTCTGGGCGCAGTAGTGCAGTGAAGCTGAAAAATACGCTGTGTCTGGAGAGTCTCACCAAATATGCAAGAATATTCCTAATCCTCAGAACATCCTTATTCCGTAAGGAGTGTGTTAATAGCTATTGCAGGGATTCTGAAGTTAATTCACCTTAACAGAAGGTTAACCCTTTCAGTTGGTTCTTTCTTATGCAGCTTCATTAACCCGTTGCCCAGCACTTCCAGCCCAGAGCTACTGTTTGCGTGGCTACTCTGCCCCTCTCTCTCTCCCTCCCTCTCCATGATTTAGAGTACATTTCCATGGAGATCTGCCTTGTTTAGGTTGTCAGCACCATCCACGAGCATGGATATGGATGACTTTGTTTCTCGTACAATTTCTGGACTTTCTCACTGGAAAAGGAAGCAGGTTTCCATTCAGAGAAGCCTGTTGGTGGTTTGACTGCACTTTGGCCCATATTACTTGTACTTGCTCTCGGGCAATTTGCATCCCTTCTGTTCTTTGAATTTACTGGTATTTGTTAAAGCAGTTGCAAAACTGCGTCATTATTACCATGTGTATTTCACTGGGATCGAAAGAACTTTTTTCCATCTCCTTTTCCACCTGGTATTTGCTTAGTTTGATGGAAGTGTCTTGTGCGTGTGCCTGTGTTTGTTTCAGTGGTAGAGAAATAGAGTGTGTGAACAATAGATAACTTCACGCTGGTTAAAATACTTCCACTTCTAGTTAATTATAACCTGGAAATCCTCTCCTAAATACAGACTTGCTTGAGCTATTATTAACGTTGGCTTTAGAGAAACCTCTTTGATTTGAGACAGACGCTTCCCTTGTATTTGCTTTTCTGCCAGGGGACATCTGCAACTGAAGGCAAGATTGAATTACTGGATGTGTTTCTTTTTCTCACTGCTTTGCTGTGTCAAATTCTTTAAACTTCAGTAGTTTGCTTACATTTTATAGCCGGTTCCAGTTACGCACCTTGACTTAGGGTGTGTTTTTATCTGAGTGATCCCATTACTTTGTTAAAACTGGCAGCCGTGACACTGAGTGTTGTGCTAAGCCTGTCAGTGCTCTAAGATAAGGTGGGTTTGGCAAAGGCACTGCTGGGAGGCAGCCCCTGGGCACTGCGGGCTGGCAGGCGTCAGGTGGCACTTTTTGCCCTTGAATCTGTATGGAGATGTTTCCGTGGTGTTTTGATGGAAGAACTCCACATCTTTCATGTGAAATGCAAGCGTTGGTTTTGCAGTTGCGGAACTATAGCGTCAGAATCTGAAGGGTAACTTGTAAATTTTGGCCCAGTCACGTTGTCACTGGTGGGCATGTACGTAACGGATCCATTTTCCCTGTGGTTGCAGTTGGTCAAAATAGGATTATAAGTTTTTACAAATTCCGTGGCATGTTAGATAAATACATTTTGTTTACAGATGTCTGCATACTTAAGTGAAATCTGGTCCCAACAGGGCTCCATTATTCCTTCTAAATATACTGATATCACAGATAAAGTTGATTTACTTTTTAAGTTCTTTTAGTTTTTTAAGTATCTCTTTAGGGACTTGCTTATAACCAGTTGAAATGTATTCAGTTGTCAGTTGAGTATCCTTGGTAGCTAAGGCAAGGCTTAAAGGAGCAGGAAATTACACCAATGTGAAGACTGGGATTTTTTTTTTTTTTTTAGTGTAACATCTTAGTTTTCTACCCTGACAAAATTCCCCCTGGAACAGAACTAACAGCTGAGCTGCGGCATGTTGTTCAGCTTGTTGGTCTGGCTGAAAACTCACCCTTGGGAGAGGGATTAGGAAAAGACTTGCCCGTATTTTTTTTTTCCTGTTGGTAGATAAACTTTCACATAGATTTTTGTTATTGGGAAATCCCTGTATATCTAAACGATAATATTTCATAGCGTTGGGACGGGCTTACACAATCCTGCCCACGCAGAAGATTGGTTCGAGTTGGTTTTTGTCTTTTCATGTTCTAACATGGGGTGTCACCGTGCTGTTTCTGAGTTGGGAGTCAAGGATTTTGTTTATTTTATGTGTTTACTAGAAAACTTCCTAATAGTGTAAAAGTAGAGGTTTATGTTTAGAGTACAAAGAGTTCAAAGTTGTTTTGTTGCTTCTGTTTTTAACTGAGCAGTTAGTGTTTTACAGAGGAGAGGAGAGTCTTTAGAACACAAGACAGAAAAACTTTTCTTTGTGGTGGGTAGTGGAAGTTGAGCGGAGTGGGCAGTTGTGCCTGCAGAGGGATTTCTGCTTCCAGGGGAGCATGTTTGCAGTTGGCTACTGAATGTATTTTGACTTTTCTTAACTCTAGTAAGAAGAATTTCACTATATGGAAATAGTAGACAGTCATCCAAGGCCTGCAGTGTCGCACAGGTGCAAACAGAGGCTTCTTTGGGGTGTTTTTTTGGGGGGGAGGTATTGGCTTGGGTTTTGTTTTGTTTTGCTATTTTTAACGAACTAATTATGTGCTTGCATTTTGTAGCTCTGGCTATGGGCCTGTGTGTTGCAATGATAGCCTTTGTTCGGCTGCCGAGCCTGAAGGTTTCCTGCTTGCTACTCTCTGGGTTACTAATTTATGATGTCTTTTGGGTAAGTGTTTTGTTTGGTTTTGCTAAAACTGTTTTTATCCTTCGGATTTGTAGTGGGCCTTGGGCCATTTTTACATGAAATGTACTAGTATGAAGTTGATGAAATCTGGCACAGCCAGAAGATCAGCTTCATTGCTCCATTCTGAGATGTTAAAGTCTGCAGCAGGATACAGAATGATTTCCTCATTAATTACTTGACAAAAGCAGAAACACGATTAGGATATTTCAACTTTGGCATATTATTTATTAAAAAAAAATAGGACCTCAAATTGTGAAAGCCTGGCTGAAGATCAGAACAAGCATTTCCAAGTGAACACAAAGCCTTATCCGCGCTTACACAGTCCGTACATGCCAACTTCTGATTAGCAGCGAAATCTGCAGAACAGGAATGCAAGCTGATTTACAGCCAGTAAGGTTGGCATAAAATCTGGCAGCACTTTTACAAGAAACGTGACAGAATGTATTTTGTAATAGTGAAAGGATTTTATTTTACCTTTCTGTAACACCGAGTGCTGGTTCAGGGGAGCGCTTGCTGCCAGCTCCGGCAGTCAGTTTCCCAGTGTGATGAGCTGTAGCGTAAGAGCCTGTTTGAAACAAGTGTTGCATCATGCCATTCATGAGTGAGCACCATACTTACCTCCTCTCTGCTTCCAAGCTTTCTCATATTTTCAGTATCCTGTTACCAGCCTTCGTAGTCCTGGACTACCTGCTTGTAGTCCAGACAGATCCTTTGCCGAAGGATCTCAAGATGCTGATCGATATCTGATATCTTGAAATCAGAAAGTATATTCCAGTTATTCGTGAGCATTAGTAGTGTAAAAATCTTTATCTGAATTTTTGAAATACATTTTGCCTGTTATCATCATATAGACTATGTGTACGGAAAATTGGGACAAAATGCTTTCCTTTCTAGAATAAGCAAAGCAAAAGCACCTGCAGCTTTGAGCTGCTCTATAATTGCAGTTTGTCATTTCTGATGATTTCCTTGCTCCGTAGGTCTTTTTTTCTGCCTACATCTTTAACAGCAATGTTATGGTGAAAGTGGCCACACAACCAGCTGATAATCCCCTGGATGTTTTATCCCGGAAACTTCACCTGGGACCAAATGTGGGTAGAGATGTTCCTCGTCTGTCGCTGCCTGGTAAACTTGTATTTCCAAGGTAAAATCAGCAGTTCTTTTACTGTGTTGTGTTAAGAGTTTTCCTGCCCTGTACTTTTTAGTAGTAGTAACTCTGTTGGAAAATACCAACTTAGATCTCTGTTTAGTCACTCTGTCTTCATGATAAAAATGAACATTGTGAGTAGTGAGGGTCGGACACCCGCATTTGCTCTCACAGCATGCAGAAACGATCCAAGTTGGGGTGAAAGGTGGGCTCTTCAGAACAGGATATGCTTTTCAACACGTGTGAGTTCTACAGTTTAATGACTGCCGTTGCAGGATTTATGACCTAATCCTTGAAAGACCTGAGGTTTATTATAACGTCAGATTATGATGTTATAGTCTTGATTACTGCGTAATTGCAAGTGATTGGGAGGGAGTTAGAAGCTGATGTAAGCAAGGACGGCTTACCGGGTAGGTGCTGTGTTGGAGGGAGGTTGTTGCACATCTCTCTGCTGCAGCAGTTCCTTGGTGTCTTGGGTTTTGAACCAGGTACGTGTAGGCCTGACTGGGCAGTAAGCTCCAGCGCGTCAGAAGTTATGCAGTAGGTTATGTTGGCGTGTTTACTCCGCTCTTCTTTCTTTAGATGTTAGGATGCTGAAATTACGGAGATTAGGAGTTGGTTGTCTGCGGTGATAAGACCAAAATTGTTCATTTTGTCAACTTTGCGATAACTTGATTTGGCTTCGTTTTCATGAAAAAGATCTCGGATTTAAGATAACGGGCCATTTTAGCTCTTGATTTACTTAGCAATTGGCTCTTTTATGGGAATCTGGCGAGACTATAGCTTTCTACATGTGTTGTCTGAATGAGGCCAAAGATCTGAGAAGTCCATAAACTGAGTTATTGCCTCGTATTAGAGGTGATCCCAGTACAGGGGAATGAAGGTGCAGTGTCTATCAGTGTTAATCGAACAGTTTGATAATGGTCAGCTGCTACGTCCCGTCAACGCTTGGAAGAGAGACAACTGAAATAGTGACTTGATGGATCTGATTCATGGAGTGAGTTAAGAGCAAAAGCACCTTAAACACTGCTGGTGGCAATAAACTGGTTTGGAGCAACATGTCACTACTGTCAAAATGGGTACATTTAAAACCGAGCTCAGCTGGCGGTGAAATCGCCGAGGAAAAAATCCTCAGTGGCCAGCATTTAGCTTCTACTGCATAAAAGTTTGCCAGTAGAAGGGAGGGATGTGCAAAACAAAGCTCAAAACCAAAGTGGGGGAGTCTAGAGCTTGTCACCTTTTGTCTGAGGCATGAACCCAATTTCAGTTCCTCTCTAGTTCCACAGGCAGCCACTTCTCCATGCTGGGGATTGGAGATATTGTGATGCCAGGTCTTCTGCTCTGCTTTGTCCTGCGCTATGATAACTACAAAAAGCAAGCCAACAGCGATTCCTGTGGTGCCCCAGGACCAGGGAACATCTCTGGACGTATGCAGAAGGTCTCGTACTTTCACTGCACACTTATTGGATATTTTGTAGGTGAGTAATTAGTTTAATATGGAGAGCTGCTTAGTGAGCAGAAGTGGGATTATCGTAGTGGGTTTAACAGATGATGAAAGCAAGTGTAAAGAGGCTTTGAGAGAACGCTTATGTTCTTTCTTTTTTAATCCTCCTCTCTTTGGGTTTCATTGGCATGGTCTAGGGAGAAAAAGCCTTCTACAGTCTTCTTTTTAAGATTTTTTTAAATTTTATTTAGAGGATGAAAGAGAGGATCAGTGTATTTTTGTTAGCAACTTTTTATACTTTACTAGCATAGAAGGTGTCATAGCTCATACGTGGGTTATGGGAAAAATGTGGGAGTCTCTAGATGGATTATGCTGTGCAAGAGTACCTGTGGGTAATTCATCTGGGTAATTTTCCTGTATTTTCATATTCTACTCTTAATGCTTTTGATCCTGTGACATTTTAATACATACAGAAAATCCTAAGTAGTCACAACTAGAATGCTGTGTACGAATTGATGTAGCCATCCCTCTCCTCCCTAACGTAGAAGCCCTACAGTCAGAACATGCGTGCGCATATCCTGACCTCCCGCAGTCCTTCTGAGGATGGAAAGATCATTTCCTACCACTAGCCTTCCTCCTCCCACCCCACCCCCCAGCTTTCCCCATGCATTCCCTTTGGGCAGGTATCCAGGAAAATCATTCCTGGTGTGCACCATCCTTCCTCTCAGCTCCCCGTTTCTCAGGCTAAGGGTTCGGGCTGATGTTCTCGAGAGGTACCAGCTCTGGAGTAGCATTTCAGTGTGGTGTGTTCAACTTCCTCCCCTTCGCCTTTTGTTGTGTTTTGTTTGAGTTGTTCTTAGCTTAGTCTGTGAGGTTCAAAACTAGAGCAAGTGGCTCAACTCAGCCTAATATTAAAATAGAATAATTATTCACTGTTTTCTTTGTTTCTAACGTATTCAGGGAAAGCGAAGCACAGATAAGTAACTTTTCCACAGCCTGTTTCTTAAAATTGTGAGGAAGGAAGCCACGTTTCCTTGTGGATGCAATGATTAGAATGTTCATATGCAACCTAAAGGTATTTATAGTCACTTTTTCTTTTACAGGTCTATTAACTGCAACAGTAGCTTCTCGTATTCACCGGGCAGCCCAGCCTGCCCTCCTCTATTTGGTACCGTTTACTTTATTGCCGCTGCTCACCATGGCCTATTTAAAGGTAAGGCAGGATTATGTGTTCACAGCAGGGAGCTCTGGGGCTCAGCTGGAAGCGGGTTCAGTGTTCTTGCACTGGGCAGCAGTCTCCTGAGGGTGACACGTGTCCTTAACAGCCCTGGCCCAGAACTACGGTGCCGCTGCTGTTCGGGTGAATCTTCCTTTTGGAGGACTAACCGAGAGACAAGTTCCTGGAATGGAAGATAATTTACGTACATAAAGTACCAGTAATTCTAAAATAACTAAATTCTGAAGTATTAAATGCTGTTTTAATTAAGTGAATTTGTCCTCGCCCAGCTGGTGGTGAAAGAAGGTGTACACAAAGGTCGAACAGAGATGGGAGAGGCAGATCCTTGTTTGCCTCTTTCCAGTCACTTGTTCTGAACTGAAATTTTATGTAACCTTTCCTGTTACAGGGCTCTGGTTGAAACACACATCTAGCACTTTGCAGAGCGGAGCGTAAGAAAGGGCAGAATTCTCCACCTGCATAAACATTTCCTTCCCTCAGAAACCCCGTTTTAGGTAGATCTGCCACCAAAATAAGACGTTCCAGCCTGACAGGGAAAGGATTTATTTTTTACTGTCTTTGTTGTAATTTGCAAAACCAGTGGAGAATAGATTTGCTTTAAGATGTGCGTGCAATTATATATGCATTTTAAAATCTGAGTTCTAAGTGGACTTCAAAGTTTCTGAGGGCATGGCCTTCTGCTGTTCTCCTGCCTAGGGCGATCTACGTCGCATGTGGTCTGAGCCTTTCCACTCCAAGTCCAGCAGCTCCCGTTTCCTGGAAGTATGATGGAACAGATTGAAAGTGACCTGAACTTCTGCCTTGGTCCTTTTCACTTTGACTTGTGGCTTTGTCGTCTCCTAAAGCTGGACTGGCGGGTACTTGGGAAGGTACCAATTACGGGACTTGTGTGAAAGGACTTTGTATGAAAAGGAGGAAAAGGAAAAAAAGCTAAGATCCTGGAGCTCCATGTGACTCCGTATCTCCCTGCAGATGTGGAATTGGGGACCCTTTGTGCAACTGCAGCCACTTTCCTCTTTTCCTCGCTCAGATGGATTAGTACCAGACTATTACCTTTGCGAGAGAGGAAGAGACAGACTTGAAACTGAAAACGGCTTGAAGTCGTTCAAAAACTTGTGAACACTAAAAGAAAAAACGGTGAAGCAAACTGAAGTTTCTTCAGAGAACCCCTCGTGTACATTGGGACCAGTTTCCTGCTGGACTTCGGTTTTGGAAAGAACTGAGACAGAAGGTCTTCTGTCACAATATTGTTTGGGGTTTTTTTTGATTTATTAAATATTTCCTGTGGTGTGAGGTTACTTATTAAATCCACAGACATTGAGTGACTTCTTGCAGTATACATATAAAAATTTGTTGTAACGAGTTACATTTCCACCCAGATGTCATATTGCAGTGAAAAAGGGCACGATTTTTATACATATATATATACACACATATAGATATATATATGAATAAATAACAAGGAAAACCTGCTAAGATCATGCTGTGTAGCAGACAGGGGCTCGCTGTAATTTTTAGCATGTAGAGCAGTTTACTATGGCTTTCTTGTATATGGATCTACAATGAGCTGCTGTTCCCCCCCCAGCTGAACCTGCAGTTTAAAAACAAGTGTAGTATTTGTACTGATTGTACTCATGGACTTTAGGGGATATTTGATTTTGATCAATGTAGCAAACTAGGGAAGAAAAAAGTTGAAACCCAACCCTGTTCGTTTGAGGGGGGAGAGGGTGGGGGGTGGGTTTTGTTTTTTCTTGGTTTTTTTTTATTTTCTTTTTTTACAAACAGCTCCCTTGCAGGTTTTTAGTAGTTCCTTCTTGACCCAGTGCATGTATTATAGCAGCAATTGTCTTTGTGCTTTCCGATCATAGTAATGTATCACTTGTAAATACATTTTTTCTATTTTCTATTTTTTTGTATTTTTTGCATTTTGTTTCATTAGTGTGCTGTATTTTTTCCATGCCTCTGCCCCTTAAAGAAAAAAAAAAAAAAAGAGAAAAAGAAAACTGTCCTTTACTGTTGTGACTGGTTGGAGTTTGTGTGTTGACTGCTTTGTACCTGTAGCTTGTTAAAAATGTGGATTTTATTTTTTTTTTTAAAAAAAACCCCAGCAATTCCAGTTCTGTTATTTTATTGATAGAAAGGCTTCCCTGAGGTAACTAGAACTTTTGTCCTTTACTCTACCAAATTGGGTTTGGGGAACTCTCCTGAAAGCTTGCAGCTCCTGGTAGATGGGTAGATGCTGATAACTCAGTTGGCTGGAAGGGACGCAGGAGTGTTTCAGAGTGAACCTGACTGAACAGCAGCATTACTGTGGAGTACAGTTTCGTTAAAACAGGTAAGGAAGCTCTGCTGAAATGTCTCATCTTTTCTGCTTTTGTCAGATGTAACAAGAGCAGCATTTTTAGCCCAGCTACGTGTGCATACCGTCATTAATTAACGTCTTCCTCTGTTCTCAGGCAGAGGGGCTGATGGGGCTGAGCCTCGGAGCGAGCTGGAACAGACCTCTGGGACAGGTAAACATCTGAAGAAGCAGTGAGAGGCAGCACAGCCCTTCAAGGGGGCGGGGGGGCTCTAAGATTTAGCAGGTGTCAGTGGGCAGGTGTGGCAGGGGGATGTTGTGACTTTATTTTTCAATTATTTTTTTCCCCCAGTTCATATCTTTCACTTAGCTGAAAGCATTTCCTCTGGCATGCCTCTAGTAACGAGTCCCAGACTAAAACCAAAACACGGAGCTCTTCTAGCTGCTAAAAAGAACTAACTCTGTCCCAGCTGAAACCAGGACACATGTGCCTGCAATGTTCTTCGTCAGGTAACTATCACTTTTTAATGAAGTATATAGCTTGTAATTAAAAATCTGCTTTTATTGCTCATAGCAGATGTTAGGTCCCATACTTGCAGTCAGCTTGGGACAAAAGAAAGGCGTCACTTTTCAGCTACACACCTCAAGATGAATAAAATACTGATGAGGATATTCAGAGAGAGAAAAAAGACACTTTTTGTTATTTGTTTTTTGTTTGTTTTCCGCAGAGGTTCCAAGGAGGGACTAACACCTTTAGATCCAGTTTGCTCCTACTTTATCTTCCCAGCCCTTCCACCCAGCTGACAGCAGTGGACAACTTGGGTGCTTTCAGCTTCTTGGGAGTTCCCTCCTGCCTTTGGAATTAAAATAAAAGGTGTTTCCCTGTTTTGCAGTGGCTTTTTTTTAGTCCCTGCCAGGAAAGCATGCCTATGAATTATTTTCTACACTTAAAAAGCATTCTGGAAAAAGTTCTAGAAGTGCTAATTGATAAATGCTTACTGAGAATTAACTCAGCTTTCCAGAAAAATCTTGGCCTTCCTTTTCAAGCTGTATTGCCCTGCTGCACACTGTGTGACCTTCTGACTCACGCTGAGATAGACTGAGCTGTAACTGCAGCGCGTTGTTTCTGAACCCGCAGGTGGTGCCCGCTGCACTGAGCCAACGGCCCCGCGTCCCGGTGGAAGCTTGCAACTGCCAGGTGAGCCAGACTGACCGGAGAGGTGTTCGCTGGCCCTTCGGTGTGGAACAGCAGCCACCACTGCCAGGAAAAGGATTTTGGTGCTTGCAGAGGTTAACTGAAGTAACTGTTGTAAATAGAAAGCTATTCCATTTGCAGAGGGAAAAGGATTCTCCTAGTTTATCTGACTAAGTTAAAGCTGCAAAGCTTTGTCCGGCAGCTCTCCTGTCTAGAACCACCTCCACATTCCGGGATTAGAGATTCCTACCCCACTACTCAGGTGCTGGGCCCCTCTGCACAGACACACCTTTTGTCCTTGTTTCTTCACACTGGCCAACTGTCCATCTTTGCAGAGAGAGGATGGAACAAGCTGCGTTGGTCCTTTGGATTTCCAGAGGCCATGGAGAGCCTGTGGTTCCCTGTCCCTGTGGGGTCTGGTGCAGTTGTTCATGCCTTCTTGTGTTAACATTTTACTGAACTCCTTAATAAACTACCTGACACAAAGACTTGCAGTGAGACCACCAAACCAGCTGTTCTTTCTTCTGAAAAGTTGTCAGAAAAAAATATTCTATTTATTGTTTGACTAATGTGAGCCTTTTTGTAGGAAGGTAAAAGGATACTGGCAAAAAAAGTGATAGACTAGAGCCTTTTAATAGCAAAGTTGCCAGGACATGGACCAGAATTGTAATGCACAAACCTGTTCACAGTTCTGGAGCCGGTTTTCTGCTGCGTCTTTGGGAGTAGTCAGCCTAGGAATTTGAGTTGGTATTTCGTAATTTCCCTAAGTTCACACATACTCTTGCAAACACAATGACCCGGGGTTGTCCAGCCAGCCAGCGCATCAGAAGCGTGAGCTGGTCGTTGTGTGTCGGTGCTGCCCTGTTGGGAGCAGCCTGGCAGTCTGTGCCCAGCCCGGCTGCCAGCCCGTCCTGCACCGCCGGCGCAGGCTCAGCAGCGCGCCAGGGCTGCGCTTTCAGCCCTGTGATGTTCAGAAGCGTTCTGCTGAGATGAACGTTTCCTGCCTGAGCATGGAAGTATTGCATGTTCTGCGAGAGAAGAAGTCATGGAGGCAATTAGGAAATAAGTACTGACGGCTGGGTGGCGTCCCCAGCTCAGCACTGACCTTGGAGGAGAAGGGGAAGTGGAGGAAAGGCTCCCAAGTATTTTTCTTTTTATATGAGCAGTGAGTGAGTGGAATTTGAAATTAAATTTTTATCTAAACAGTAGTAAACTGCATTTTCAGTCACATTACACCATCACCTTTTCTTACCGCCATTCCATTTCTTCTTCCTGTTACTCTTACAGGTACTTTGCTTTTTTACTTCAGCATATCTTTCGTATTTCGTTATTTGTAATGCTTTCCAAAATTCCCAATGAAACCTGAATGTGTGGCTGTTGCCAGGTCTGTGGGTATAGAGGGTTCTCAACTTAGGCAAAACAAAATTTAATTTAAAATCAAAATAATTAGTCTTGTTTTTCCTGTAGGTAACACTGTCAGAACTAAGACTAGTAGAGAAGACGCCATTCTGATGTGAAAGCAACACTACAGCAATTTCAGCCGAGTCCTGTAAAACATTTTATATGCAGCTTAACTTGGAAGGCTGAGATGGCGCGTCTGTTTTTTTTTCAAAATTGTGTGAAATTGGGAGGTGAGCCCCATCCCGCTGCACTCTGAGGAAGGCAGATGCATCAGAAGGGGATCCAGACTCCTCATCCTTGGTGGTGGACGGGCCAAGAAGGATGTGGCTCATGTCTGCTCACCAGGAAGAGTTAAGTATTTCTCACCTGTGTGTGTTTAATTGTGACAGCCCAGAACAGCTCCTCTCTTCCCTTAGTCTGTTGGGAACTCGCATGGAGATTGTGAGCTTTATGTATGCTATAAAACATATCAAATCCAGGGTGGAGGGGAATAACTTCTCATGACTGTAACTGTGTTTCCTAAGAAAGGAGTCGAGTTAGGGCTTCACAGAAACACGCGGAACAAGAAACACTAGACAGTCCTGCTGCCTTCATTTGACCAGTCCTCCTATCCTGGAAACTGTTCTTAAACTGGTGTTTTTCCATCTCCATCTGTGTACTTTCAAGGCTCCTTTGCTTCAGTCCCAGTATTCAGCCTCATAACCAGTTTCATGTGCACTTAGAGCACTATGGGGCAAAAAAGTGTCCTTGAAAAGTGTAGCTGTGGCTTCTCTCCTTCCCCACCTCTTTCTGATTTATGTGACCCCATTTACCCAGCTCAGTGCCCCTACGTTGGCTGACTTTATAAATTGATAAAAACTTTTGGTTTCACCAGTAAATAGACCCTTTTCTCAAAGGAATGCCTGGCCCTACCCCCACCTGGCCAGGCTGGGGGTGGCTCTCAGTAGGAGCTCCCTCTTTAATCCTGCAGAACTTGTTTGTGTTTTGCACTTTCAGCAATTCTCTCCTGTAACAGCCCTGAGAAGCAGACACACATTCATTGCAGCCAAAATTCTCTCAGCCAGCAGCAGCAAGGAGTAAGCTCTTAGTATTGTGCTCTGAGAGAAGCCAGCTCTGGGGCAGGCTTTGTGCTCAGCCGTGCCGTTTGCCCCAGCGCAGTGTTGCTAAACAGTGCCATGTGACAGGTCACTGATCCCACCCAGGACCTGTGGCAGCAAGGAAGGTACTGGAAAGCTTTGGTTTGAGAGACTTTGCACCCTTAAAGCATGTTTTTTAGGTGATAACAAAAGGGAACTCTAATAGAATAGCTCAAGATGTTCCTAGGCTCATGACCATGACTGGCATGCTGTACGTAGACCAGAGATTGTTTTGACCAGCTCCACCCTTTTTGTAATTTGATGATTTGCATTGTAATTTGATACAGACTATGGCGGAGGTGCAGCACTCAGCAAGTTAGCATCAAGTGTGGAGTGTTGGCCAGGCCAGCTGTTGTACTGATGTCAGTGCTACCACGAAGTTTGTCACCGAGGCACTCAGTGCATGATCCAGGCATTCCCTAAAACAGGCACTGATCATGGGTGCAGCAGTGGGGCTCCCCCAAGAGCAATTACTTGGTGCTGCCCCTCGTAGTCTCTGCACAAAGTCCACAGGGGATTCGGTACATCTAGCTTGTAGGTTCTTCAGGTGTGTTCGCTGTCAGCCAAGGTGTTTATCACTGTTGTCCCCCAGGGGCAACTTCACTCTGCTCTGGCAAGGAGAAGCTGCAGTCATTTAGAGCTGGTAAATGAAGGAGGCGTGATGCGGAAGAGGAGCAGTCCGAAAGCACTGACAGTGTGGAAAAACAGCTCTAGGAGAAGCAGCTAGATGAAGAGAGGGCAAACAGGGCAGCAGGTGCGGCCTAAGTGTGACTGACTTGCTCTGGGTCACTGGGCATTCAGCTGGACCTCGGCACACAAGGTCAGTGAGGACCAGCACTGAACAGCAACTCTGCATTCCTGAAGTCCTTGCTTTCTTGCAGTGAGCGGCCCTGCCGCTCCTGTCCTAGCTGAGTGGCTGCATGGAGAAGTGTGAAATATACCACTTTCTCCTACACAATCATAGAAATGAGCCTTCAGCAATCATTAGAGCGGTGATTTGGGCCAAAATCCAGCTAGAAAAGCATCTCTTGCTCCTAGAAGCCATCCACAATTTACAGTACAGTCGTAGCCATTGGAATGTTTTTTCCAGTAGAAATACCCTTGTTGAATGCACTGCCTCGCTCTGTTTCTGGTAGTCCCCAGGTTTGTGGGAGCAGCACGGAGAAAGTCTAAACTTCAGGACTTTGCCCCAACACGCAGTTGCCCTCTAGCGACCTGCAAAGGGTTATTTATATTGCCGCGACGTCCGCACGAGCGAACACCCACTGCACCGCGAAGCATCGTCTAACTGGTGCGTCCAGGCCCTGCTGGTTTATGCTCCTGTGTCTTGTGACTGGAAGAAAATATTCTAAATTAATTCACATTTGCATTAAAAAAACGAAAGCGAGGACTGGTGGTCCTTTAAGATCAGGTTTTATTTGTTGTCTTTGCTCTTTTATGTGTAATAGAATCCTGCTGGTTTTCTCCACACAAATCTAAATAAAAGGCACCACAGGAAAATAACGATTTACCTCTAGTTTGCTCATCATTTGGACGAGGCAGCGGACCATAGAGGCTGCAGTCTTAGTCCTCTCCATCTTCCAGAGTTTAGAGCTTTTCTTTTGGCTGTTGAATCTTGTAAAAGTTATTTTCTTGCCAAAGGTAACCAAGTGAGGATATGTGCCAATCTAGAGCTTCCTGGTGGGGTCTTCTATGGCATCTGTTCGTTTCCTCGTTGCCCAAAACACGTAGGGATTAAAGGCTCTTACTGCCACTTCATGGACTTTCTTTCCTGTTGGGTAGTTGTTGGTACAGTAGAAGCAGCTTTGGGAGCAGAGGGTTTCTTTTGGTGTTTTTCTTAAAAAAAAACATTGGGTGTTGCAGCTTTTCTGTCCTTTGCTTTTGCACCTACAAGGGTAAGCGGCTGAGGGAGCAGGCTGCTGGGCTCTGCTGGCCACAAGTGAGGGGTTTTTCCGACCATTGTTTTTACATCTCCATAGACAGCAACTGAGCCTGTACTGAGCGCCCTATATGCACACCCAGTCCTCCCGGCTGGCTCCTCCCCTTCTGGAAGCAGGGAAGAGTGCACTGCTGCAAGGATGACGGCAGCACAGCCTGTGTCCAGTTAGGAGATCACACATCGTTATGTCCCACAACTGGAAGTCATTGAAGTCTGGTGAGAAGAGTCAGTGGAACCCGCCGCCTGGAACAGGGCACAGGGTCACTCTCTCAGTGCCCCTCGCTTTGGCACTGGTTAGCGAGTACCACAGTGACAGCTCCTTGCAGAACAGGCAGGGGCTGGGAAGTGCCCAAGGAGAGCTGCTGCAAACTCATTTTCCTGCTACCAAACCAAACCAATGCTCCGGTTTAAGCAAAGCCCTACACTCCCCTCCAAGGACAGGCTCCCTCTGCCCTCCTGCACGCACAGCCATCACTCACAAACCTCAATACGGCCTTCCATGCACCGTGCTTTGTCCAAAGAAGAATCGGCACGTTTTAACAAGAGGGTCAGGTTACTCATTGGTGAGGAAAACTTCCATCATTAGCCTCATTCAAGAGAGAGAAAACTCCATCAGTGTTGTGCACCATTGCAAGGCACTCTGGGGCAGTGTCCTGCTCCAGTCGACTTCTTCAGCTGCGGTAGGCCTTCAGCAACTGAGCTGCTATCACCAGTCTCTGGATCTCACTGGTCCCCTCGTAGATCTCAGTGATACGGGCATCGCGGTAATGGCGTTCTGCTGGCATCTCTGTCACATAGCCCATCCCGCCTAAGATCTGGATGGCCTGAAACAAAGGTGGCAGGTTAGAAAGGAAGCAGGGTCAAGGAATTCATTTTCTACAGACACGGCCACCTTGAAAGGAGCTAAGCCCACTAAGAGCATAACGGGAGTGACACACAGGGATGACTGCAGCCCATTTGCAGTCAGAGGAACAAAGAGGCTTTGCGCAGGGTAGAAGCAATACTGAGGTCCCAGGCAGAGAATGAACTGCTACAGAGGTATTCGTTAGTGATCCAGCTAAGACATTTAATTATTAAGGAGAGAGGAAATTAAATGCAGACTTTCATTGGAGGTACTGCTCTACCTGCTCACTAAGTTGCAAACTACTACAACTACAGTTGCCCTGACTGGTGCACCCATGCTCCCTCCCACATCACTGATCCCACTTTGACAGGGCCCTGGACAGCAGCTGGGACAAGACGACTTTAATAATACAGCAGCCACAGGCCACTGTAAATCCCTGTCTACCCTGCTACCCCCACCATGTCCAGCAAGATGGCTGAGCTAACCAGCTTCAGCCCTAGGGGTTGGCTGGTTTGTTCCTAATAAAAATAACCTAGTCAATTCCACCCCCCCCTTCCCAAGCACTTGTGCCACAACACAAACTCCCTTTCAGCACGCTGTGTATCACAGGTGTCAACTGAAGTAGTTACCTGATGAGCAATGGCTGTTGCAGCTTCTGATGCAGCCAGTTTGGCCATCGCCGCTTCCTTTGGGGAAGGAAAACATCACTGAGGGTGCAGCTATCACAAAAAGGAACACCTCACTTGCATGAGGCGCTGGAACGCTCACAGACCAGCTGTGCAGAGAGACAGGCCTGATCATTGGTGCCAGCTGAGAGTGGCCACCCCTCTCCCCTTGGCTAAAACGAGCACCCAGCTGGGCACCCTGCCTGAGCACAGACAGCAGAGTCCCGCAGCTGCTGGTGGGTTAAACACCGCCAGTGCTGGCCCGGCAGGCGCTGGCCGCAGCACTGTCCAGAGCATGGATTTCTTGTGCTGTCACTGCCAGACAAATGCAGGGTTGGACATACCTTTGTGAAGGGCTTCCCGTTGTCCTTCAGCATAGCAGCTCTCCAGGTCAGCAAGCGCGCGCCCTCCAACGCCAGAGCCATATCTGCAAGCTTGAACTGCAACAGCAAGCGCTGCCTTTGTTCCCTGCACAGCAACACCGTGCAGCCGTCTCCCTCTGCTGAGGCCCGCGGTGCTAGCAAGCAGCACCTCCATCCCAGCAGTTTTAATGGTGTTTGAAAACACAAATTATTACCTCGTTTATCCCAGACCCTGTGCACTGTGTTCCCGAAGCCACACCCAAGAGCCCACACAAACTTTCCACCAGGAATGTTCGGAACTGCCCTGTCCGCCTGGCTCGTACCTGCACGGCCTGTAGCTTTGTGATGGGTGACCCAAAGGCCGTTCTCTTTTCCGCATAATCCACAGCGCAGTCCAGAGCTGCCTGTGCTATTCCAAGAGCCTGTGAGGCGATACCAATCCTTCCTGCATCCAGAGTTTGCTGCGAAAGACACAAAACGTGTTAAGTTGTACTTGTTCAAAAGTAGTACACTTGCATTTCTGCTCTTGCTGGGAAGCTGCTGCAGCCTTAGTATCCTCTGGTCAGACCTCCCCCATTCAGAACATGCCTGGCTATGCAGGAATAGAGCTGTAAAACGTTCTGGGCACGGCAGCAAGAAGACAAGGGTTAAAAAAAGGAAAGCAGAGGTATTGCTGCTTAGCTAGGGGGCAAAAAAAGAGGCGGGTGCAAAATAAGGGAAACGGCACAACAAGGAGCATCCGCTCTGGAAAGGGCTAAAGAACCCTTCCGCTAGACCCTTGGCTCACTGTGCAGCTGATTTTACTTTGACCAAATTTCCACCTTTTTTTTCAGTTAGTTTTCCTCTTTACCCTCATATACACTGAAGCAAACGTTTTTCAAAATGACTTACCTCAAACACTTGCCCATTGCTTTTACCTGCTTCCCTGGCTCACTATACACAGGAAGAATTTACAGCACAGTGAGAAAAGGCTTCATCTTCTCAGTCCTGGGCTGAGTGTCTTAAAAAAGCGGTTGGTGACTGGCATGTTCTTTTAGTTGCGGACAGAAAGGAAGGGGCTGGTCTCCAGGGAGCTAAACTGTTTGCAAAAATTCGGGCCAACAAATGGTGTTTTGCCCCTGCAGAGAGCAATGAACACTTCCAAGGTTGGGGGGAATGTGCTGTTCCGTGGCTGCCTGGCTCCTCCTCAGAAGTCAAACACATGCTGTAACTCAGATTTCATCAACCTTTAGACATTATCCAGAGGTTGTCCTGTGCCTCTAGGACAGCTTTCCTCTGCCAAAGTATTTAGGGACATTGCCATGTTTTCCCTTTATCTGCGGGTACAAACTGGAGGAATAGAGGGTTGGGAAAGGAGAACAATTAAAATACACCAGCCCTGCTGACACAGCCCCTCAGTGGCACTGGCATTCTTTCATCTGGGAACCACGACACTGAGGCTACAAAAAAAGCCCTGTTGAGGATCAATGGTCTGTCAATGATTCACCAAGCTCTACGAATGATTTCTCTCACGTTGGCAAGAGGGGCCAACTGCTCAGTGTTACTCAGAAAAGCTTATGCTAGTGGTTCTCACCAAAGTGATCAGTCTGAAAATGGTTTTGAAAATAGTAAGCTCAGGAACTACGGCTTTACACAACCACCGCTGCACCCCGCTCCATCTCTTACCATGGCGATTTTGAAGCCCATTCCCAGCTGCCCCAGTAGGTTGGCCTTGGGTATCCGACAGTCCTCAAATATCAGGTTGGCAGTGGAAGAGGCTCGGATTCCCAGCTTGTCTTCTTTCTTCCCCAGTGACAGCCCAGCAGTTGGCATGGGAACCAGGAACGCGCTAATGCCCTGCAACGAGACCCAAACTCTTGGGAGTGGTGCCAACTTCCCACTTACCTGTCTGTCAACAGGCTTCCTCCAACCCTTTTCATGTAAGCCACATATCCTGGTAAACAGAAGGGAGGGAGAGCCGAGACGGAACAGAGCCAGCGCCCATCAGCCCCCACCTCTGCTCAGTGCCTGGTCAGCTCTTATAAATAAAGAGTCCCCAGAGCCTTTTCAAAGTGCTTCTCCTGAACAACTCCTTTCCTCCTGCCCCTTTTTCCTCACTGAACGCACCTTGTGTTTCAGGGATTTATCCGTAGTAGCAAACACCACGGTGGCCGAGGCGTCCCAGGCATTGGTGATCCAGGCCTTGGTGCCATTCAGAACCCACTCGTCGCCATCCAGGCGTGCCACCGTGGATGCTGCACCCGCGTCACTGCCGTTTCCTGAGCAAGGCACCAGCAAACAAAACTCAGGCAAGCAGCAGCAGCCTGGGGCACGAACCCACGCCCTGCCCGCAGCCCCACCACGGCATCTCCTGTAACTGCGGCAGTGTCAGCACGGTCCCTCCCAGAGCCCCCAACAGGAAGGGGAAAGGCCCATGTGTCTGCTGTGTCCATCTCCAGAGCGCTGCCCACAGAGGGGGTGGACCATGGGGATGGCAGTTAATATCTTGGGCATTGAGACTTCATCTACACGAAATTGCTATAAACCACCTTTCTGCAAACTGTTAAAAATCTGACAGACCTAAAGTCCATCCTAAACCTGAGTGAGGAAAGAAGCTACTCTACGTTCTTTCCAACAAGAGCAGTAATGGTCACATCACCTGGTTCGCTAAGGGCAAAACAGCCGATTTTATCCCCGCCGGTGAAAGGGGCGATCCACCTGTGCTTCTGTTCTTCGGAGCCAAACTTGAGTATTGGCCCTAAATACAGAGACTTTAAGAATTGAGAGTTGAGTTAGGGCCTCTTGAAGAGACGAGCAATCCAGCAACTCCCTAATGTCTAAGTGCTCTCCAGCGTACCAGAACCCACCACAGGAACAGATCCCCTTTCTCCCACACACCTCTCTCCAAGAAACTCCTGATGCCAGCCTCAGCTCCCGGCCTGTCCCTCACACACAACCAGAGACACTTACATTATTGACACTGACAATGACACCCGTGGATGCACAGCCCCTGCTGATCTCCTCCACAGCAATGGAATAGGCCAGGTAGTCAAGGCCTGCTCCTTTGTACTCCTCTGGCACGTCCACAGCAAGCAGCCCTAAGCCACCCATTTTCTTCACCTGTGAACAGGGAACAGAGAATTGAGATCCTCTGCACCACCAGTGTCCCAGCAAACACACACAGACACATGGAGATAATGACAGGTCATAGCAGGACTACACATAGAGGAAAAGATGCACACAGTTCCTGGTGAAATGGGAATCTGACTACAAACTGAGAAGCGCTCCCAGGTCCTGATGACTTCAACAAGAGATGTACACAGTCACTGCTGCCTAAGACGAAGCTCTTGCTTATTTAAAGAGCTCTCTTCAGTACCAGGAAGGAGGGAGCCTTCTGAAGGTGAAACAGAGAGACAGAACCCCACCAGCATTTCCGCAGCCTCCCACCAAAGCTTTTCCCCTCGCATGTCTCCTGTCAGCTGGAAGCTCTTAATGGGAAATCTAGCTGATGAACATCATTAGAATTTTACCTTTCAGTCTGCTGAGCTTCAGCCTAGGACTGCACAAGGAAAGAATTTTACAGAATGAATGACCCACAGAACAGTTTCCAAGAAGATGATTTTTCATTCCCATTAAAGCCAGGTCTTGCTTCCCAGAGAACTGTTGGTTACATTCCAAAGTATTCCACCCCAAGTTCCTCAGCTGGACTTAACCAGCTTCTCAACTGTAAGCTCTTCAGAGCACCGACTGTCTCACTCTACTTTTCTTGTTAACATTTGGCAATATACAAGAGAAAAAACAAGTGTGTTACCAGCCTCTGCTTGCTTAAAGAAGAACCAAGAGGAATTTTTAAACAAATATTTCCCTCCTGTACCCAAAACACTAGTGCTTCACATCAGTCGAGAGGATAAACAAAGACAGCAACTAGTTCTATGTATGTTGCTTTATCTTTACAAACACCGTTTATATTTTGAATTTTCCCCTAAGCATTCAACTGAAAAGACTCAAAATCGAATGTAAAATTCTCAGATAAGAACAGGGAAGTAAAGAGAAAAGTATTTTCTTCCTTAGAGCAAGTATGACTTTCCTGGCTATCTTCCTTACTCCTTAATAAAAAGAGGGGCACATGACAAAACTGGCATGCCTCTGACTGTCTTTGCTTGCAACCTTTTGGTTGACATAACGATACGTATTTTTCTGCAGCTTAGTATTTCATTGTAATGAAACAAGGGAGTTAGTCTGCTCAACATGGCACAGAATGTACTACTGTGTCTGCACTGCTTTCCACAAGAGAGGTCACCAGTTTGACTGGAATTTGAATTTCTTCACAGGCCCAGAGGATGTCCAACAGCTATCTCCTATCTCCTGACCACTTCTCTTCACCATCTGAAATGCACTCAGCTCATCTATGCTTCCTTGCTATAAACCACTTTATGGTTACACGCAGTCTAGAAAAGTATTTCATTGATTTTATAAGTCAGTTGTATTGCAGCCCACAGGAAAGTCAGTAAGAGAATGGAAAACTCGATGGTGCTAAAGCCAGATACAGAGAAACACAAGTAAC